TTTGCTCGCCGAGGATGTGGCCCCGGAAATCGCCGCGCTGCTCACTGCGCGCTGAGCGCTGGGCGCATGCATCACATGGTCCCATGCAAGGGCGACGCGATTAGATTTGTGGCTTGTGACGCTATCAAATCTGTAGCCTTGACACAAGTTTCACGAGAACCAAAAATGTGTTATTTATGAATAAATATTTAGGCACCGCAGCAATTATTTCCACTGACACAAGGGTGGACAGCGTCGGGCACTGGGGCAGCACATCACTTCTATTTTTAGTACTTGACACTGCCTTTCTGGAGGGGTTCAGCCAATCATGACAGTAATTCCCACGACTGATTGCGCGACTGGATGCGGTACTGGATGTGGTACTGGATGCGGTACTGGAGATGATGTCCAGTCGCACCTCGCGCGGAACTGGATGCGGGTTTTGCCCGTTGTGTATGGGCAAGCAGTGGATATCATCTTCGACGCGGACCGTCCGCGGATGGTGCTCCCGGGCCGGAGGCGGCAGGAAAGTCCAGTCACGAGATGCGGCAGCTGCTATCGGCCCGAGCGGAGGGGGGGATGCAAAGGCGCCTGTGCCTCACCCAGCTTGAACGTTTGAACATCCATTGTGAACAGCCTGCTACACCGTTATCTAATGAGGCATCAATGTCAATATCATGAGGGTCATGCAAGGAAGAAAGATAATAACAAACATCCTTTTCTATGCCACCTCTTGAATTTGGCCCTCGAGAGTTTGAAAGTATGGAGCTCGAGACGTAATTTTGAACAAGGTCGCGAGCTGCGGGCGCCACTTGTAGAACAGATCGTGTTGGGGTCGTCGTGGGTCTAGTGGTCGGGGTGACATGTATAGTACTTACTCATAAATTGATAAGACGAGTCTCGCAAGCAAGTCTCGCGGCTTGGCAGCGACGGGCTCCCAGAAGGTAAAGAAATAGACTCTGGCGGACACACGGACTAGAAAACTGGTAAGGAGTCAATACACAACAAGGGCACACTTGCAGTGAAATACTTGCTCGCCTGATCCATGCGGTCCTTCATCATCAAAGTCAAAAGCGGTGTCGTGGCCACACCCAGCGCTAGCACATCTGTACACATCCATACCAAGTCGCTCGTGCGCGTTCACTAAGCCGGCTTGAAAGCCTAAGACAGTCATAAATAGATGCTACAGCAGACATTGTGCTACAAAACAAGATCAAGGGACCATATATGGGCGTACCAGTAGGATGTAACGTCGTAGATCAAAAGGAGATGGTCCGATGCAGCCAGGAGTCCGACGTTTAGGGCATGACTCGCAACCTGTCGGCAAGACCGTACAAGAAGCCTACCGCGTCCTTGGTGATAGTTCGCCCTCTGCTCTTGTCAATGCAAACGCCAAACTCAGACGCCATTTTCGCAAGCATGCGGTTGCTCTTCGCTGTCCCAACGTCCCTCCGGAGGGAGAAAAGTTTGTCCATCTTGGCGCGGCGCGCGTCCGCCTCGTTTGGCGCAGCCTCTTGCTGCGTGCCGCTACGCGTGCGCGAGGTGCGCATGGGAACGACATACACGGATGGGTCTGCAAGTTGCTTGTAGAGCGCATCGAGGAATGCGAATCCCTCTTTCGTGAGCGACTTGGACTTGCTCGTCTCGAGCACTTCGGCGAACTGTCGCACCACGCGGGCGAGCATGACGTTATCCGTGGCGTCCTGCGCCATGCTCGTGAGCTCCGTAAGCTGTTCGGCCTTCGTGAGGCGAACGGCAGCGGCCTTAGGAGCGGTGTCGTTCTCACCGTCAGTGCTGATGACGATCACACTGGCGTCCCCGGGGTCCGTCGCTTTCGCCTTCTTTGGCCTGGCTGCCTTCTGTGCATTCGGTACGTTAATTGCGTTCGCACGCACGCCCAGAACTTGCCGCGGCTCCGTGAGCTTGAGTTCAGCGAGGTCTTTCAGGATGCCTTCCAATCTCTGCAGATTGCCAGAATGAGGCGGCTTTGTAGGCGTTACGTGAACAGATGGCTACACAAAGAGGCTGTCAAGACGCGCAGATAATCAGAAGACTGGACAGGGCGGCACACCTCTGCTTGGGGCGGCCATACAAAGACGTCATCCTCTGGATAACCGCTGTTCACGGCTAAGTCCATGAACCGTTCTCGCCATTCTTCGTAGTCGGGGCGTTCAGCGAACTTTAATCTTCTGCAGTACCGCAAAAATTCCTCGAAAACGTCCGGAAGGCCACGACAGAGGTCTTCTGACTTAGCAGCAAGCTTCTCGCGCTTGAGTCGATTGTGTGCGGCGTCGGTTTTTGGGACCCCGTTCCGTGTCCAGCTAAGCCCTCCGGGCGTCAGCAGGTGGATAAGCATCAGTGCGAGAGCTTCCATGTCATCTCGCCGAGTTGGAACTAGAAGAGCCGCGAATAAGGGACCAGCGAGCTGTCGGTCTTCAAGAAAGAGACGTACTTTTGCCCTTGCAGTGCACTTTCACAGACGTGAACCAGTAGTTGCCAATGAAGTCGCGCTTCTTGTTGCTCTCTTCGATGTGCATCCCCGTTCTGGGGTCGATGTATCGTTTGGAAAACCCGAAATCGATCATGTAGATCTTCTTCTCGTCGGGCGGTAAGCCAATAACGCAATTCCCAAGCTGAATATCACGATGCAGGATACCTCGGCTGTGCATAAACTCAAGTCTTGATATCTTGAGATAGACAGTGAGCATGTCGCAGCTATTTATTTGTGAATGATACCGACCACTTGCATAGCGATGCAGCAGACGCTCCTGAGATCCATGATGTTCCTACCAATTTTCCGATATAACGAGTCCAAGCTTGAACCCAACAGAGAGATGGCTAGGAAATCGAATCCAGCTTCGACACCCGACGCATACAGGGTAGGCATTCCTTCTCCGCCTTGCAGGGATGGATAGAAGCCACGCTCGTACCGGTTTGTTGGGCATTCATGATCCAGCTCTTGGAGCTTCAGTGCAACAACTTCATGTGTGTAGATGTTGGTAGCCTTGAAGATTGCGCCTGTGATAGGATGGACGTCAGTCTCTGTGTGCAGAATTTACGACGTGAAAGTGAGGGAGGAGCATACAGAAAGTGGAAGCGGAACAGGAGCTAAGCTTAAAGTTCAGACCCCAGTGCGACAGCAGTCCACGCTGTCATGATACGTCCAGCAGCATGCAACGGAGGTTGTACACTCCGGGGGTGCCATCATAGATGCGCAGCGTACACTTGTATGGAGCAATCGTGGTCATCAACGGAAGGGAACTACGTAAGCATGGATGGTGAGCAAACACTAGCGCCGTAGGACGCTATTGTGGACGCGGAGGTCGTATCTAACGGCACGTTTTCCGGCTGGCGGGCATACCACGGGCAAGCGGACGGAGAGAGCCAGACATCTTCGACTCTCCGTGCCTCAACCCAAGCTGAACAAGCCAGGCACGGAGCCGGGAGACTTGGGCAACTCACCTGAGTAACCCGAACCCAAGCAATCTCCGAGCCACCAGTTCCCGATTCGCTGAGGATATTGAGGCGGCATGCAGTGCAAATGAATATGATGTTCTGTGCTGAGGAGTACGGCGCTGCGATGTCAGTGACGCACGCGGTAGGCGTCGGGAGCTGTTATGATGTCCGCTTGCCAGCCGACGAGAACAACAAGAAGCAGAGAGTGGACAGGAAAGCTGGATATCACAGCCACATGAGCAGAGTCAAGGAGAGATGGTAGGTGTTACCCTCGCTATTGCTCGCAGCGTTGAAGGTGCGAAGCACAGTGGGCGAAGCGTGAATGACGGCGAGCAAGGCGTGACGACTCGAACCAAAACGCGACCTCTGCAAACGGTCACGTGCGTCTCACGTAGGACATGGCACGCATGATCAGATCGGCCAAATCGAGGCCGATGCCGCGATCTAGCCGAAGACAAACCTAAAGATCCCAACTTGGGCCATTCTCTTCTGTTCATGCCTGACCAAATCTCTGCCGTGGCGGGTCTGCTGAATGCACACTCTTAGGCCCTTCTCTCCTCACGAAAGACCTGCGGAAAAACATATCGAACTGGAGCACTGTCCACTTGACAGGTCGCATGTGTCCGGGACCAATATTTGGTTTCCAACCGGCGCCGCTTCCACGGAGCGACATATCAAACTTGCCGCCTTCCATTGTGGCGACCGATATATCTTTGCAGCTGGTGGATGATCACTTCCTGTTCTGCTCGTCGTCGCACGTGTGGCACAGCCCAATAGGTCGCTCTCAGTTGTACAACCGAGCCCTCCGCTCTGACCTTTCTTTGAACCTATCTAGCGCTCATAATCAGGCCGCAGCATAGTTCCGTCAGAGGTACCGTATACCCTCTTGTCATTCACGCCATGCCCTATGTTCACCTGACAACTCTCCCCTACGGCAGTTCTCGCGGAGAAACCAGCGTCTCGCTGGAAACCTTACGGTAGACATGATGAACCCGGCTGCCGATGTGCTCGTCGCGCCGCATGGCGTTGCACGAACAGAGACCAACCCCAAAGTGTCGTATGTCTGCGTTGCCAAGTAGGGGACAAATCGCGAGGTATAAAGTCTACCTGGAAACAGAGGCAGACCTTAGTGGCTCCTCAGCACATCACTCCCGCCTTCTAAGCACAACCAGGATGCGAAGCTTTGCTGCTGCCGTTTCTTTCGTTGCGCTTGCGCTCCCCGTTGCTACGCAACAGATTTATGATATTGTGGGTAAAGTGCGTCATTCCGATCCAAGCATACCCTAAAGCTCTCGTAGTATGCCACGGTGTGGGATAGGTCCCAGCTGTTCACCTACACAAACTTGGGTAACAACCCCATCAACTTTGTCACGCCTGGCGCTATCGGTGAGGCTGATATTGTCGTCAACGATGCCCAAGTCTACCAGACCATTGTCGGCCATGGCGCTGCGCTTAGTAGGTCACACCTCGCTCGCAGTATAAATGCCATATTAACAGCTATACTAACAGCCGATTCGTCTGCATCACTCTTGAACAATGTCAAGGTACGTCTGCATCGTTTTAGACTCCATCTTACCATTGATGCCTCATATCGCGCACAGACCTCGGATGCAGCGACCTACTGGTCCATTCTCGGATACCTTTTCGATCGTATGTACATTTCCTTCGCGCCCTTTGCTTGCGATCTCGGCTGACCTCGTGTCTCCCTAGCTACTGACGGAAATGGCGGCGCCGGTCTCTCCTACATTCGCGTCCCGCTCGGTGCCTCTGACTTTTCCGCATCTGGTAGGACACTGCACACTGATCATACCACGCAAAAACTGATTTGTTTCACAGTCTACAGCTACGATGATGCCGCTGGCGATACTTCTCTCACCCAGTTCAATATCAACAAAGCCCCGTCTTATGTGTTCTCGGTCCTCAACGACATCCAAAGCATCAACCCGTACTTGAAAATACACCTCTTGCCCTGGTCTCCGGTGAGCTCATCTCGAGCCTACGTATATTCTGGATGCTAACTATACCTTTTTGATCTAAAGCCCGGCTGGATGAAGGACAGTGGCACCATGAACGGAGGCAACTTCCTCAGCCAGTACATCAGCGTTTGTGAGTCGCGCATGACAGGCTCTTGTCTATCTGGCGCTGAGAATGCCTATAGACGCCGAATATCTCTTGAAGTGCTTACAAGGCTTCCAGAGCCACAGTATCACTGCTTACGCTGTACGTGGTTTCGGTTTGTACCGTGTGTCCAAATATTCATTCTCCTTATTATTTAGATCGGCGTTCAGGTAAGCGCAAATCTGCTTTCTCGTCCGCTTTCGGTTAACCATAGCACCTGTCTTCCATCCCAGAACGAGCCGGAAAACAACGACTCGACCTATCCTAGTGCGATCGTCACTGCATCGCAGGAAGCCCAGGTTGCGACTGCACTCCGGACATTGATGAACAACAACGGCTTCACGAGTACTAGGATCGTTGGCTATGACCACAACTGGAATGATGCCGGAGGCTATCCAGTTCAGATCGTGCGTTCATTTGGCACGTACATGTGTGCGGTGCTGACCCGCTTGCAGATGCAACAAGCTCCAAACGCATTTTCTGGAGTCGCTTTCCATTGCTACTCGGGTAATGTCACTCAGCAGGATACGTTCCACAACCAGTTCCCGAGCAAGGAGATATACTTCACTGAGTGCACTGGAACCTACGGCAGTGACTGGTGGAGCGATATCAAGGTGCACATCATCTATCTGTCCGGCCGGCCTTGCAGCTGATGTTCATCTAGTGGTACATGGACAACCTGTACATCGGCTCGGTTACACACAACTCCATGGCTGTCCTCATGTGGAATCTCGCGCTCGATGGCAACGGTGATCCCGAAACACCCGGCTCCAACTCGTGCAGCCCACCCTGCCGCCCGGTCGTGACGATCTCGGGCACGAGCTACACAGTGAACCAGGAGTTCTACGCGATGGCCCAGGCGAGCAAGGCGATCGTGCCCAAGGATGTGAACGGGCCCTTCGGGCAGCGCATCGGCGTCACCGTCGGCGGGACCCTCGACTGGGCTCTGGTCGTCGGTGCGTACGTCACGGCGCGCGTGAACCCGACCGACTGGCTGCGGTACTCCCTCGTGGTGCTCAACTGGGACGACAGCGCAAGCACAACCTGGAACCCGCAGCCCGTGACGGCGACGATCGAGTTCCGCGGCATGCAGGCGTCGTACACGTTCCCCGTCGGCGTCACGACGCTCTGGTGGTACGCCCCTGCGACCAGCAGCTCGCAGGGCACCTTCATGAACGCAACAGCCGAGACAGAGCCCATGCCTGCGAGCATGAACATCGCTGTCGAGGAGCAGGCGCCCATGATCTGGGGCACGGGCCACTGATATCGATAAACCCCCATCCCCCTCCCTCGATCGCCCTTACATTTTTAACGAATATTTATGACCGCTTCGATGTTCGTCTCCTGGGCGTCGAGTCTCTAGTATATCTGTATCGCTGTTGCTTCGCTTCACACACGCTTGAAAGTCCGCTTATATCTCATTCTTAGTCTAGTAGTTGAAGGTCGCGTAGACGGTATCTTCAACAATATCACGGAATGATCCTGTTGCTGCTCACCGCCCAGCTTGTCCAAGGCGTATATGCGCGCTGTTGACCGTCTAAGACTCGTATAGTATGGCACCAGTGGTGAGAGCATAAGCTTGGCTTCAACTTGAACCGAAGGCCTCTCGTCTGACTTGGTGGCGTTCGGCAGAACCCAACTGATTGTATGGGCAGAATTGTGCAGGCGGATCACACCCCAGCTACGACCTGAAGCACGGTTCTCGTAATAGAAGAGATGCAAAACAAATCTACGGAAAATTAAGGTGAGAAAGGACTCTCGGTTCGACGACGGACCAGTGACTCACGACGTGCGTCCTCAGGACTGAGGCAATGGCTTCAAGCAGCTGACGAGACGGCATCGAAATCCTGTATGGCGTACGGGTCCTCCGTACGGACAGTCGAAACTGCGAATGCTTCATCGCTAATCTCGCAGCCCCCACAGCAAGGCATATGTGGACTTACTAAATGCGAGATAAGCCTATCGATAGTTATCAGGTGATGCTACTGCCGTTCTTAAATATGACTCTGTCGACTTGAAGGAGCGGCCCGTAGTTTGCGCCATCATACTGATGAGCTCTCAGCTATAATAGGGGTTGCGAGAGACAAGTCTCTGTTGCTGGAATTCGCAAGTTGATTCGCAGTGCTAAAACTTGCTTTACGCTCCTGTGAAAACCGGCCCGGACATGAGCATCGAGCTGGGAGGTATTATCGCCACCACTACGGGCATGAGCTGATTTCAGATCACCTGAAATGTCCCGGTCAACCCATCAGAACTGTTTCATTTTCGGGGATTGACCGTAGCTTTCTGGTGCCCCCAGATGATAGATTTGCTACCACTTTCATAGCCATTTGCGATGCAAGAAAATGATAAATTTCATGTAGCTTGAAATGAACCTGAAATGACTCACTATGGTTACATTTCAGTACAGCAAAGAGTTGATGTTTCAGGGGACTTTGTGGTGCATTTCAAGACATCTGAAAGAACATATGTAGGAATCATTTCCACCTCATGTTTGCAATGAGGAAAGGTCCGGGCGAGGAAAGCTTTTGATGGTCCTGAAATTGCCATTTACAGCAGATTTGTAGTACATTTCTGGGATATTTCTGTCTTATCTCAAGTAAAAATCTTCTAGCTTATAAAATAGTTTCAA